ATTCGGTAAGAGCCGTTTAGCGTGCTTGAGTCCGAAACGTGCTTAAGGCCGGCGTGCTTATAGCCGGCACGGACTGTATTTGGTGGTGACTGGGATAGCAATGCCATGTCGTCGTCGGTAAAATCACTGTTTCCCCTGTCTTTTTGCCTCTGCTGTTAATTTAATTATATTACCCAGTTATGATGAGTAAGAAAAGAAATGGTGACTGTAAACATGACATTTTACTCTAGTGTGCACCTCAAAGTTTCTAGTGAGCTACCCACCATTGATGACACTTGGCTTTGGTCCCTCATAGTTATTGCGTATCAACTTCACCAGTTCTAATCATATTCCACAATGTCGCAGTACTTTCCACAGTGTTGTGCGATCGACATTGTCCAACGCTTTCTCACAGTCTTCTTAATTAACTAGCAGAGGGCGATCCATTTAAAAGATTTTTCTACAATAATTCTTAAAGTCACAATCTGGTTGACACATGTACGGTTTTGTCGGAAATCTGCCTGGTTTTCTTGGAGGTATTCATCCGCAATTCCTAGTGCTCCAAAAGAATCCTTTTGAATATTTTCCTGGTATTGATACAAGTGTTATTGCCCTGTAATTCCCACAACTCAGATTGCGCTTCTTCATGAGCTTAATAAGGTGGCCTTTCCAGTCTTGAGAAAATTCTTCTGTAGTCCAAATCTTCTCATATTAAAGCTTGGGTGGGATATCTACCAGTGTACGTTTGTCAGCTTTTAATGCCTCGGGCGGCATGTAGTTAGGGCCTGCTGCCTTTTCACTATTTTGCGTTCTGATTTCACTAGCAATAATTTCTTGTTCAATTTAAGGTTCACAATTCACTTTTAACTCTCTCCCAGCTGGCAGTATATCGGGTGGATGATTTGTGGCTGGTCACAGGTCTGTTAAGAAGTTTCTGGAAGTTTTCTGCACATCGATTTAGTTGTGCTTCTTTTCCCATTCTTGTCTTCCGCAGGTAATTCCAGTGTATCTTACCTTCCGCGTGATTTCTTGATAGGATGCTGCCTATTCATCTGTATTTGTATGGTTGATTGACTCATACTGAGATGTTTAGACATCTATGCCTCGTCTCTTTCATTTATTGCGTGTGTCTGTTTTCCTTCTCTTCTTAACTTTAGGATCTCATTAGTGGAGCTCCTCACATGATGCTTATTTTGCTTCAATTTGGTCTTGCATTATAATCAGTTTGTGATCATTATTTCTTCATGCATTTGTAAGGTTGATAACTATTTTTTACCCATTTTACAGTAAGAAAGTGTTTCTTCTTCATTCAGGGTGTTTAAAAAAGGGGGACAATATATATATATAGCTAGTGAGGGTCAAAAAGGTGAAATCGCAGCCAGCCTCCCTTTATATTTTTTAGTCAGTGTGTAACTTTGCCCTAGGCTAGATCCTATATCCACGCGCGCGGCTGTGTTCACCTCTCTGCCTTCCTCTCCGCCCGTGTGAGTGTGTGTCTCTATCACTTGCGTTCTGTGTGTTTCTCTTAACACACTCCACTGCTGCGGTGTACGTAGACTGTGTTCGAACTTCGATGGGTCATCATAAAAGTATTTACTGTCTTGTAATGAAGCGTCCGAAGTTACCCGACCGTGCTTAATAAAGGCGTGTAATTTATAGCAAAAATTCGGTAAGAGCCGTTTAGCGTGCTTGTGTCCGAAACGTGCTTATAGTATAGCCGGCACGGACTGTAGGCTACTTGTAATGATCTGTCTTGAAAAAAATTAGGCTCCATATATATATTTGTTATAGTGATTGTACTCTGTTAATGTGGAGATGTTTGGTGCACTTGGTACTCTTTTAATTTATTGTCCGTCAACCATGGGGTTGCAGCCAGTGACACAGTGACTGGCTTAACAAATTTTAAACAACTACCATTTTCTTTAAAATTGACAGAGGTTAAAGGATGGTACCAAAATGCTCAGTGGATAGGCCTTTCAAATGGAACAGACAAATTTGGCATACAAAAAATACGAAATCATCCAGGCTGTGTTGACAAAAAGCAAGCTCGACTGGCAGAGATTTGTCATCAGTTCTACATTCCACAAGGGTCGATTCACACCATTATCAAGGATAGAGAGAAAATAATGGAAGCATACTCCATGGAAAGTTTGCTCTGGATCGAAAGATGAGACTACCCGATGCAGATGATGTAGACCAAGATTTTCTGATGTGGTTTTTAAGGAGGCAAGGAGAAAATTGGTTCCAAAACCTGTTCGTGGGTAGGCCTACTTGTGGCAAGGGAAATACTCATGAATAAGTAGGCCTACAGCTGGATAGTCAACAAATGCTTAATTTTCTTGCATTTCTGATTTAACAGGGATCGGATATAGATATCTAACAGGACATTTTCTCTACTCCCGCCATCCCTGTTGTTACATCAGGTTTCCACTGTATTACAAACACAAAAAAAGGAGAAATCAGGATGATAGACCTTTGGTAGGAAAGGAGCAAACCACAACAGAGCACCCAACCATTCACTTCTTCAATCAAACCAAAAATCTAAATCAGTAAAGAAAGTGACATTCAGAGCAGTTTTAGCCAGGACTGTTAATACGGCATTTGTCAACACAAGGTCATAGGTACCGAAGGTTTTAGTTTACAAGTAACAACAAACAAGAAAAAAGAAGGATGAGACATCAGGACGACAGAAGTTTAGTAAGAGGTTTTACGGCACTCGCAACAGCATAAGGTCATATGATGAGCGCCAGAAGATTTAAGGTGCTACAAGAGAGTAACAAACAAAAACAAGTGTAGATAAGGACGATAGAGATGTTTGATAAGAAAGAAGAAGCAAACCACACCAGTGCACCCGCCAACCCACATTGTTCTTTCTCCAATTGAAAAAAATCTGAAAGTGACATTCACAATGCCAAAAAGCTATCTTAACAAACTTGTTCACCCTAGGTAGGACACATGAGGAAGAAATTCCCACAAGTGCTAGCATAATCACAGTGATTGCAACAGCTTTTTATTGAAGTGACCTCAGTTCTTGAGGAAAAAGACTGGGTTCATTCTCGGTCCACCTCAATGACAATGCTTCATTTTTTAAAATAGTGAAAATGTAACCTTAAGCTCACTCTGTTATGAACTGTTGTCAATGTTATATTAAAAATGGAGAATACAAGAAAGCACTAAGGTCGCGATATGACCTACATTGAAAAAAAGATCACTTTTCTTCATGTATCAGTAGTATCACAGCAGTGACCAAGTAGGTAGGCCTATATGCTTTAAATTTTTCCTTGCGTCTAATTTTGCACAAACTGCACTCTTTTTTTAAATTATAAAGTTCAAGTAGAAATTTTATGGCGCTCGCAACTGCATAAAGTCATACGAGCGCCAAGGGGTTGAGGTCAACAGAGAGGTCCATACAGGGAATCATGCACCAGTTCACAAAGATATTGCTAAAAAAGCTAAATAAATTAGGCTACACACACAGAGAAAGAACTCGGCGTCATTTTTAGCAAACATGAAGAACCAACAAAGAAAAAATAAAAAACAAAACACTAGAATAACATTTTTATGTATTTATTAACAAGCATAAAGTAAAACTGCAAACTCCGCATCTTCAATGTTCAAAAGAATAATTCCAAGAAGAACCTGTGTCCTGAATACACCATGTGGTTATCAGCACATTGAGGCAAAAGTTCAGACTTGAGATTAAAAAAAGCAAGTGCTCTTAACTCAAGCCCTTATGACCGTTACCCTAAAGTATAGACAACAAAGTCTTCAACCATCCAAAGTGACAAGACCAGCGACAGACAACAGAAACCATCATAACCAGTCAGAATGTCGCTGTTTTGCCTCAACCTTGGTCAACATTCGCCACAAGGGTCACACAGGACGGAGCACCCAATGCGGAAGCTTTTCAGATACAGCAACCTGCAGCCCACACCACCCTGTAATTGTTGCTGTTGGAGCTGCTGTTGCCGAAGATGATGATGAATTGATGGGGGCTAGCCTGCAGGTACGAGTCGCTGTCCTTGTGGTGTCTGTAATGGAAGAAGTAGTCTCTCCGGTCCAGCTGACAGGAGGATGAGGTGGCAGGAAGCTCACAGAAGACCCGGCCAATGCAGTCTCAATTCACACTTGCCGAACTAGTGACCTGAGGTACAGCTTACTTTGATCTGTCCAGGGGAAAATGTTTTTGGTTTAGTAAGAGTATTACAGCATTCAAGACATTAGGCTATGTAAGTGCTGTAGACTGAGGGTGTTACGAGCAACAAACAAAAAAAGAATGGAAGATAGATTTTTCACAAGAACTGAGCATCCGCCAACAACATGGGAAAGAATAAAAGCAGTCACATTAAAAATTTAACCCACAGATCACCAGCTATATTATACACAAACGTGTGCATCTACTGTCTGCACTTCCTTTCAGCTAAGCTCATTAGCCATGCCAGCAGTCTCACCTTGCTGTCTCTTGGCACGTTCATGACATCAGACCCTGAGGCTTCAATAGTGTCACCTTTATTCCCATCATAATTTAGAACTTGCTGTAGATTTTACGCTTTTAAGTTAAAAATTTGGATTCATGCTCCTATAAAACTTTCTGTTGCAATAAAAGGAGTTTGGTTTGGTACACGAGTGTCAAGGAAAAACCTCGCTGCTTTATCCGCACAAACACGGCAATTTCACTGGTTCAAGAAATCGTTCGCTGGTATGTCGTTAGTTTAACCCTTCCTCCGATTGGTTGCAGTTTCATTTATTTTCGAAAACGAGTTTTCCCGATACTATCTAAGAAGACAGTCCGTTCTGATTCCGATTTCCGGACCAAGGCGCAGCGGGCAATTGGCATTGCTGCCTTTTTAAAATTTCCTATTGCGTACGTGTATATGTCTATGGAGTTAGGCAGAGACCACGTCTCCCGAAGAGATTGTAACAATAACAAGCACAATTAGAGCGCTTTGAAGACTAGCAACACAGAATTCACACCTACACAACCCAGTGCCCACACGGGTGGGGTAACAGCTATCCCAAAACCCCACCTCCCCCGGAAGTGTGGCATGACATGAGGTCAGAGGGACCAAAATTAGTTTGGATTTGGAATACATGAAGCTACAGCGAGCACTTAGCACACCTATGTGATTGGCCTAAATGTAGATGTATTTCCACCATCTATTTTTGTCGTCTTCCAGGGCTTCCCCCATGACTCACAGGTTTCCCTCAACAGTAACTGTTGACTAGATCTCGCTGTCTTCGTTTTTTGTTGTACTAATTTGCGTTAGCCTATCTTTTCAACAACCTCGGCAACTCTCGTTCCATAAATTTACCTTCGCCTCTAAGTTGTACACTACACATTACTTTCCTTTTCATTCTTTATTAAAATTAACAGAATCGCATAATTTCACAATTTTTTTGTTTTGTTTTTTGCATGAAGCTACGGGGTCAGGTTTACGTACATTGTCTCTCGTGAGATCTAAATCTAGGTTGTTTTTTTTACCCCCCCCCAAAGCTAGATACCAGTTGTCCATTTTTTAAAAACTATATATATTAATGCACTTAACACCACGAACATCAGCTCAATTTCCGTCACAAAGTAAGTTTTTGAAATAATCGAGATAGACGTGTCGTGTTCCAGCACCTGCCCCCTTGTACCAGTTTTAACACGTGTTTTGGACCAATATACATGGGTGTGTGTGTGTGTTTCGTTGTTTTCGTGTTCCAGCTCCTACCCCCCCCCCTCCGGTAAAAGAAAATCTGAGGGGTTTCCTGTTTTAACCCCTTTGATATTTTAGTTAGATTTGACATTTTCTTTAAAACAATTGATTTGCGATAGTTTTAGTGGCTTTTAGTGCGACCTGCAGCTAACAGCACTGCAGTTTGACCCCCAAAGCAGTGCATCTGTGTGAGGGAGTGAACTAAAAATTGGAAGTAGGCTACCTATTTGCAACACCGCGGTGCCATTAGCGCCAGTGCTAAATAAAACGCAGTGTCAAATATAGAGCATAATCTACCTTTGGTTGTGGGTTCTGATGGCCGAATGGAGAGCGCGTCTGCATATGAAGTCATGCCGTCATTTTATGAGCGTGGGACCAAATCCCGGTCCTGAATTATTTTTTTTAAAAACTTTTTCCGACGGAACAACAATTTCCCCCCTTAATTATCATAACTTGTTGCTTTTGTAGTTTTTTAACTGTTTTCTGCTTGTGTTCATTTGCACCATAATCAGCATAAGGTGTAGAATTTTTTACAATAATAGCTTTTTATATAACAGCTTGACTTGATCTCTAGATTCTAGTCTACATCTAAATAACTTGACAGCTTATATTCAACTTAAATCCACAACAATACTTACAAATAAAGAAACGACGGCTACTTGATCTTGTACTGGGAGCACGGGAGCTATTAAGAACACGGCGTTGCAAATAGCGCCTTCCCTAAAAATTTACCCTGATCTGCTAGTCAACTGGCGAGGGAAGCCACGGAAGACAACAAAAATAGATGGCGGAAATGCGTCATCTACATTTGGGCCAATCATAGAGATGTGCTAGGTGCTCGCTGTAGCTTCATGTATTTAGAATGTGGTTAAAATGAGGAAGGGTTGGGACCTTATAGGCCTACCCCTCCCCTCAAAATTGAAAGCAAACTGAATGTTCTGAACAGCAGACAACAATAACATACCTCGCCCTCATCTTTCTCCTTTTCCTCTTCAGCCTCCTCATACGCTTCTTTCGCCACTGAAAAAAATTCAAAATATTTATAGATCCAGGTGTGCACAATAGTAGTTCAGCAATTTGAGCAGCACTGCAGTAATAAATTAATCTTGAAGTCGTAACTGGTGATAGATCTAAATAATCTAGATCTAGAATCTAGACTAGATCTAGATTCTAAGTGAAATCTCCAAAGTAAAAGTAAGTTTCACTTGTTCAAAAACAATCTTGATGGCAATGATGGACTCTTGAAAAACTGTCTAGATCTAGATCTAAATCCAGGGTCCCCACCAAACCCTTTTTTCAAGACCCCAATTCAAGGGAAAAATCAGGCCGCTGCACGTCAAGAATGATCCCCCCAAAAAAGCCAATCTACCAATGATAAAAAGCCAAAATGTCTATAAATGAAAGCAAATGTACATTTTGTAGTAGTCTTCAAACAATAGATGACTATAATACTGGGTGACTGCCAACCCAGCTTCTCAATTTTCCAAGGGAGGGGCCTCATCCATTTTCCAGGAGGCCACCTCTATTCTCACCCGGTTCGCGTTCACCCTACACCACAGAATTCTACACTGTGATAACAGAAAAATTGGAGAATTCTGTGCCGTGAACAAACGTTCCAT